CCCCAAAACCCCAAAACCCCAAAACCCCAAAACCCCGTAATGTAGTTAATAAATTGTAAAGTTTCTAATTTTATGTAAATCAAAGCTTATTCAACTTCCTTTCCATTCTCGTATTTAACTCTTGTTCTTTTCCCTCTTCTGTCAATATGGTATCCTTCACCATGCTTCTTTCCCAAGTGGAAGTTTCCTTCATATGAGTTACCATCTTTCTTAGTCAATGTTCCTTGACCTTCAAACATATCTATAGTTTTTACGATCAACAGTACCATTTTCAAAGCATCCAGCATAGACTTCTCCTGTTTTTAAGGTAAGTTTTCCTCTACCTTCCATCACTGAATCTTCATAATGCCCTGTGTACACATCACCATTATCATATTTCATTGTTCCTAAAGCTAGGCTCAAACTGTACCTTCTCCGTGGAACTTATCATTCTTAAATTCTCCATTATACACATCTCCGTCCTCAAAGATTAATTCTCCTTCACCATGTTTCTTGCCGTTCACGAAATGACCAAAGTACTTATCCTTCGGGGACTGTTTCATTCTGAAGGAATCATGCAAATTCTTACATCTCAAGGGCAACGCCATTGAGTCTCCCATCTTTGAAATTTCCTTGGCAGAAATCAGCCTTTGTTACTAGTTTGCCATATCCAGAAAATTTGCCTAATTTGTTTATTGAAGAAGAATTACCGTTCTCGAACTCCCCTGTGGAGGATTATCAGGGAGGCTTACCTTGGTAGATATCTCCGTTACTCTACGAGTTAGTGATGGAGCTTACATATATGAGTCTGCCCTTGCCTTCAGGCTTGTCATTTATAAAAAATCCTTCGTAAAGATCTAGAGTTTTGAGGTTTGAGGAAGTTAAGGGGTTTAGTAAGTAATCTGAACTTGATTTCACAGTTTAAAGGAATATTATAAGAAATAGTAGAAGAGAAAGATGAGAATTGGTATCTAAATAGTCTTCTTTTGCTACCAAATTGGGCAATAACCCTACTTTGTTTGTTTTCCAAATATCTAAAATTTTATCAAAGCCAATACACTCCTCTTCCTTGTTTACAGTTCCCAAGGAATTCTCCAAAATACAGAGACTTCATTTTTTCCCCGTTGTTCTCCTTGCTACTGCTTTTACCATATCTAGATATGACCAGGCAAGCTTACTCCACTTTTTTCTGGATTTTGTAAGGAGAAGTATCATCAGAAGCTCCAGCATCCCTTGTTTTCACTTTGAAAGGCCCAAGTCTAATGAATTTGGCGAGTGCTTTTTCAGACCTACAGAAATTGAGTATTTAGGAAATTAGGTTGATGGAGCACTAATTTCAAGAGCTTTTATACTTGGTTTCATAGGGTCAAGGAACTAGCTATTCCACCTACGGTGCGATCTCTAATTGGTTAATACTCTAAATTATAATAGTGCAACTGCGTCAATATCTGTATCCATTGACGAAGCTTCAGTACTAAATCCAGCTACTCTTCAATCCCTAACCATAATCCTCTTCAATGCTATGAAGAAGGCAGTCTTAATAAGGAAATTTTCGATCAACTCATGAATTTGCTTGATATAAATTGATAAAAAGTCTCTGTAAAACTCCTTCGATACTAATTTTGAGAGACATGCAGTCAGAGTCAAAGCTGGAGAATTTCTAAGAAGCACCTGCTTATTATCAAAGCAGAGAGATTTATATAGAAGGTGTTTACCCTATTTATATTGTATACAAACACAATATCTAAAATATAGCTAAGATTTCCTTATTATAGGGCTGACTTACTCTAGATTTTCTTTGATCCAATCATAGACAAAATTCTTAAACATTTGCTTGCAATACCCTTTCCTCATCAAGCTTGGCTTGGTATGCATGTCGCCATAGTCAGAATCTGAATGGAAAATTAGCAAAAAGACTTACTTTCACAGTCAGAGTCCGAGAACTGGTCATAAAATTCCTTTTGATCTAATATCTCTGCTGGTAAATTTTTTTTAGAACCTTTGGCTTTTTTTTTGGTTTTCTTCTCAACTTTCTTCTTAATTTTTCTCGGCTTTCTTTTTTCTCTGCTTTGCTCTCTTTTTGCTGTTCTCTGGTACTAAAGGGTTGAGAAAGGAGTTTACTTGTAATTGATATTTTTTGGGCTTCTTTCTGCTCTTCTTCTCCTGGACTTCAGATACTACTTCACCATTTCCCACAAGCTGTATTGCCCATTAACTGACTTTAAATTGTTTATTTTTGGGAAGGGGTTTTGGGGTTTTGGGGTTTTGGGG